TTTTAGTAGAGACAGGGTTTCATCATGTTGACCAGACTGGTCTTAAGCTCCTAACCTCAGGTGACCCTCCCGCCGCAGCCTCCCAAAGTGTTGGGATTACAGGTGTGAGCCACTGTGCTCGGTTTACGTTTATTCTTATATCCAAATATGTTTCCTTTTGTTTTTTTCCCAGATTATGTTTTAAACTCAGTTTATTGAGTTTCGATCCTCCTAAAGATTCTGGGATGGCTATTATCCCTATTTTACAGGTGACCCAGTAGAGGCACAGAGAGGATAAATGTGGCCCTGAGGCCACATCACTACTTGACAGAAAATCCCAGAAGAGAACTCCGTCATCTTACTCCTAATGCAGTGCTTTCTGTCACCTTAAAACTTTAAACCAGGCTGGCAGGGTGACTCACTCCTGTAATCCCAGCATTTTGGGAGGCTGAGTCGGGTGAATCACGAGGTCAATACATCGAGAACATCCTGGCCAACATGATGAAATCCTGTCTCTACTAAAAATACAAAAATTAGCCAGGCATGGTGGTGGTGCACTCCTGTAGTGTCAGCTACTCAGGAGGCTAAGGCAGGAGAATTGCTTGAACCCAGGAGGTGGAGGTTGCAATGAGCCGAGATGGCGCCACTACACTCCAGCCTGGCAACAGAGCAAGACTCTGTCTCAAAAAAAAAGAAAATAAACCTTTAAATCATCAGAAAAAATGGTTTTTGTTAGAAATATAGGCTTTTGATCCCTTGTGTGTATTATTTTTTCAGATGGTTTTAATCAAAGTCTATATAAACTCATTTGGTTTTTGCTTTTTTTCACCATAACATATTAATAATTTTCTTTTCTCTTTCTTTTTTTTGTTTTTGAGACAGGGTCTCATTCTCTCACTGAGGCTGGAATGCAATGGCACAGTCATGGCTCACTGCAACTTTGACCTTCCCCAAGCTCAGGTGACCCTCCTACCTCAGCCTCCTGAATAGCTGGGACTGCAGGCATGTGCCATCATGCCCAGCTGTTTTTGATTTTCGGTAGAGACGGGGTTTTACCACATTGCCCAGGCTGGTCTCAAACTCCTGGGCTCAAGTTATTCACCCATCTCAGCCTCCAAAATTCTGGGATTAATACTGTGAGCCACTCCGCCAGCCCTATTAATATTTTTCAAGTTGCTACTCAGTATTTTACCTGGACGTTCTTCTAGGGATGACATTTAAATTTTCTTCAGTAGGTTATTTTATTGCAGTGAATTTGTCTCACCATAACCTTTGGTTTTTCATGTCCTTCTTTCTCTCTCTCTGTCTCTCTCTCTCTCTCTCTCTCCTTTCTTTCTTTCTTTCTTTCTTTCTTTCTTTCTTTCTTTCTTTCTTTC